TGCTTGCAATCTCCAAGATCTGTGTGCAGCGTGACGTCATGAGGAGGGAAATCGTAGCTTCAGTTCTTAAGAGAGGAATGAACTAGCCCTTCTTTCTCTTTAGCCCCGAGATTTGACTACCAAGAGTTGGCCTTGAGCAATAGCATTATACCAAATAAAACTGGGCCAGTAGTTAATCTTTATTTATTTACTTATTTTTTATGACATTTTAAAAACCTGTTTCGCCTAGAGTCCAATAACGTAAGGCTACAAAAATGTTAAACTAATAAGCATAAAAAATAGTAAGGTAAGAATGTAATGCTCTCACTTTTTTCATTTCTTTTCTTCCAGACGTCGATACGTACCTAGGTTTGCAAAACCCTTAACCGTATAGTCCACGTCTGGACGACAGTCTAGCTCGCACAAAACTCGGCACATAAGTAAACCATTACAAAATTCCTAACTGCACAATACGGATGATACAGAAGACAATAAAGATGACAATAATTCGTATCACATTAGTTAAATTAAAAAAAAAAAATTGCAGCAAAGAGAACGATAAATGAANAAAATAAAAAAAAAAAAAAAATTTGAAGCAAAGAGAACAATGAATGAAGCAAATTTTGTTATGCACATAATAATTGAAATAATTCGCATGAAATCTGATACAGCTTGTATGGGGTATTGTACCACGCCAACCATATTTTCTGTTTTTGATTGAGTCAGATAATTGGGTATAATATAGCCTACGTCACAGGTTGTGTTGTTCCTACTAAATTTAACCCATGAACGGCATTTTCTGCGAGCCTAACTTCAAGCCACAAATAAACAAACGAAGTGTTCGATCGTTTAAATAGCTGTTCGCCAGATTTTATTGCATTATAAAGAAAAGTTATTGAAACTAAATACAACTAAATAAACAACAGCAACTAAAACAAATAACAACAACTACTAATAACAATAACTAAATAAACAACAACTAAATTCCATTCGTTTAGCATTGCGTCATATGTTGTTCCTACTAAATCGAAGTAGTTGTGTTTTTTTCATATTATACCGAATTTCATTTTCCAGTTTCTACAAGTTTATAAGGCAGCATAATCCTTACTGAAAATTAGAATCGTATAAATAATTTCATTCAGAATTTTTTGTCAGTAAAAAAATAAATAAAATAAATAAAATAAAATAAAATTAAATAATAAAAATAAAAACGGGGAAGATTAATAATTCAGTAAAATATTCATGCACTAAAAGAAATTTTTCTTCAATTAAAAAAAAAGGGAAATTAGATGGCGAATATTTTAGTTAGAAATGTGCATATTATTTTAATATTAGGTGTAGAATCCTTCAGGAAATAAATTAAAACCTTCTGTTTTCCAACATTGGTAAAATGCTACACCCCTTATAAACATATCTCAATGATTGTCTAAATGCATACTGTGTTGCTCCAAGACCTAAGTTAAACTCAATTTTTAGATCTGTTTCTCTATTATTGATTCAAACAACTGATTTTTAACATCATTAATAAAAATATCTAAATGATAGTTTCTTGGAATTATTAAATGCGGTAGACAGATTTCCAGAAATTTTGCACGCAAGGTTTGATCGAATGAAACACATTTATTTCTAATAAATTATATAAAAAAATAAAAAGTAAAACAAGCATGGAAATCACATCTAACGCTTCACTAAGCATCGAAAGAAACACTCACAAAACAATTGCATATGCTTCAGTGCCTTCCAAAGACTAAATCTATGCAAAGTTATGCTTACTTAAAAGTGAAGTATTTCAATAAAGTGCTTGATCAACATTTTTTTAATAATCTCTTTCTGGCTTTTAAATTGAGAGGAGCTTCGTCTCAGCACTTCAATAAACAGATTTTTCCAAAAGTTATATATTCATAACATTTTTCTTTTTGCAAATCAAATTAAGAGAGAAGAAATATTCTATATTGGGACTGTATTTTTTTCCTTCCTACTCCAGAATTTCATTGTTGCCTTAGTTATTTTGAAATGGTTTTGAGTGGTATTTTGAAATTGCAGTTGTGCTTTCCGTTAATATCAGTCATCATTCTTTAAAAAAAAATTCTGATGATTCAAAATATCAATTTATGAAGAAAAAAAAACTAATTCGGACCATATTTAAAGTCCTTTTTTGTTGCGCAACATGTTTGACTGGTATATTGTCCTAATGGTATAATCAATGGTATATTGTCCTAAGACTTTGAAATGAAAGCATTCAAAAATAGTGCAAGGCAGAGTTTTTCTTTTATTTTCTTACATATTGCAGTGAAATGCATTTCCCCCCTTAGTACATCTTTAAAACAAATGTTTACGCTTGTTGGAACAGGGAGGACGAAAGTTTTAATAGCATTTACATTTTCGATATTTGTTTCTATTGGTTCATACACTACTTATCATAAATTAAGGATGTCCCGAAAATAAGCCAATCACAACGAAATTTAGATACGTTGTCAAATGAGAATTGCTAAATAAAACTGCAATATGTAAACTAATGGCATTGTAATGGAATGGCGTCATCTACAACAAGCATAAAATTGTATGTTTAATCACAAGCCTGCGAATTTCCCCGCGTTTCCGAAATTAGAAATTTCAGATGCCAGTTAGTAAAAATGGTCGCCAGGCATAATTTGTCCGAAAAATTACGATGGAGATTAGCTACAATGAGCACCGATAATCGATATTTATCATTGTGTGCACGTAGGAATAGAAAACTCCAAGTATACCCAGATTCTCTCTTAGTGAAGCTTCGGAAGATTTAATTTTTTAACCGTTGTTGAACAGCTGACCTAATTTTTTGAGTTTACGACTACTAATGTTCAACTCCGTAACTTTGTAAATTTGAACCCAATCCAGGAGACAAGGGAATTTCTGGATCAAGTAATGGGGGAAATCAGCCTTCGTGGAGGACTATTTGATGGAACTAACCCACATGACGTTGCATGGAGAGAAAAAACCATGAGAACCTCCCACGGTTAGCCTGACGGCAAGGGGACTCTAACCCATGATCCGTCTACCCCTGAGGATATTTTACGTCAGCACTGTGGTCGGTGCAGGCCGGGTATGAAATTCGTATCGACAAGCCATCACAGGGATTCGAACCCGGTTCACCTCATTATAAGGCGAACGCTCCATCTCCTGAGCCATCACGGTTCCCCCGATTTTATTGTATTTTATTACCGTCGTTGAACTGCTGACCCAATTTAGGTTTTACGACTACTAATGTTCAACTCAGCAGCCTTGTAATTTTGAACCCATTCCAGAAAGCAAGGAAATTCCTGGTTCAAGTATTGGGAGAAATTTGCCTTGGTGGAGGACTTTTTGATGGAGCTAACCCACCCTCCGGAAGATGGGTGTCAACGTCTACTGGGTATGGAAGACTTCACAAATAAGTGAATGACTTGTTCGATAGTCGACAAACATTTGCGCCTTTCTCGTCACTCCATAGAGGGGAATGTTTGAGGTGACCAAGTGCGATCTGATCTTTTCACGGATAAGTCTAAGTTTAGCTTCCAAAGTGATAGTAGAAGTTTTTTGATTTGGAAAGAACCTGGAACCCTATATCATTTATAAAACATCCGGGAAATACATGCATACCAAGGAGGCAGTGCCTGTGTGTGTGTTGGTATCGCTTTGGGTGGACGCACTGACCCGCAATCTTTCCACGTGGAATTGTGAATGCCCACGTATGTAGAGATGACATCTTTGATGTTGATGTGTATCCTTATACTGGTGCAATATTTGATGATTTCGTGCTACAGTAGGATAGACCAATGCCGTATAGAACTGTGGATGATTATCTTCATCTCATCTGCAAGCAATGCAGCGCATGGATTGACCAATTCAATCACCTGGCTGGAATTCTGACGAGTATGTTTGGGATGCTTTAGGAAGACGTGCTGCTGTTCTTATCCTCCTCTTCAGAGTCTTGCCACACTTGCAGCTGCTTAGCAAAAGCAATGACTAGCAATTAGTTTTATTAACAATAAAAATCTACCTACGAACAAATGCAAGCGTGAATGGTTGCAAACGAATTTTATTTATTTTTTCTTAAGAAAAAAAAAGTAAAAGATGAAAACAGTTTTTGCAATTAAAAAATTTTCAAACATTTACATCTTGCTAAATGAACTTCTCATACATATATTTTATGTATGCTTTGTGATTTATTTTAAAATTCAAAGTATCAATATCTCAAAATTATTTTGTGAAAATCTACAAATTTACTTTTACTTATAGTTTGCATTTTCGTTTGTAGTGGATATTTTGCCTCACTTTAAAATTGAAAAAAAAAATTAAATTCTGAATATCATATTTTTTTTATCGAGATTTAAAATAAAGAGTCACAAAAGCGTAAATTATTGTCACAAATTCAATTTTCAGTATAGACAATTTATTAGCAATGATAAAATAAAAAAGATACAATTAAAAGAAACTTGAATATTCAATTTTTTCAAAAATTGCCTAAAGAGTAATTCTTCTGTTTCTTCTTTACGTTCTTCATTTATTTATTATTATAATATTTTTTGTATATATACAAACATTTTTTCTTCCTTTTGTATTTTACTCTTCAAAAAAAGAAGAAATGCATCTAATTATAAATACTTCGAACTAATTTTTATTCAGTTAAAAACAATTGAAAGAGAAAGTTTCCTTTTTCATGTCCTCTAATAAAAAAAAAAAGTAGCAAAAAAAAAAGAATATCTTTAAAGATTAAATTTTGGAAATAGTTTAATCCCTATAACAAAAACATTTAAATGTGTAAAGATTAAATTTCATAAATCAAACAAACGCATCCTTCATAACTATTAAAATTACATCCCTTGTAATCTCTATTAACATCTACAGGCAATAATATCTAAAAAAACATGTTATCGAAAACAATAAGATTAATTGTATTTCACCGTTTAATGAAGCGGTACTTCACGCTATTTAGTGGACATGGAAGTCTTGAGTTATAACAACAAGATTAAAAAGATCATAAACGAGTCATCGGGAAAAATCAATTTTTCTTTTATTGTTGGTTCATAAGAATTGACGAAGTTTGATGCAGGTTAAAATCAACACAACATCTACACAACAAATAGAAGAATTTACAGTACAGTGAAATCTCTAATTTTTCTTTAGAACTTCTTATTAATTTTGAAGAGCAGACGTTTGAACAAAAGAAAGGTAAGAATTTTTTAAAACTGTTTATAATTGGATGTCTGATTTTCCAATGCATTTTAGTACTATTGATTACTTATTATGATCTATGCATCTTGTATTTTGGATATCCAATCCTTGCATCAAATGTGAATATAGAATGATACCTTATACGATGACATCTTAATAAATGTTTTTTTAAAAATAAATTTCCTTTGAATTCAGTTTCTATAAAATTGAAATGGGGGTAATTTAATTAGCTCCTTACTTTCAGAGTTAGCATCAACTATAATTATCGACTCGAATTATAGCAAGTATTTTTTATGCTAAAATATTCAATATTTTACGAACTGGGCTAGTCAAGCTCACAGAAGCAAACATTTTTTTTCACCAACGAATGTAAGAAACCCTACTGGGAATTTTTTAACTTTGAACGAAGTAATAACAATATAAAATGAAATTTTTAAAAAGTAAATTTTTAAGCAGACTTAAAAAAGGGAACTAATTTTAATTTTTGCAGAATTAAAACGAAAAACTTCAAAGTGCGTCACTTTTGATAGAAATGTGAAAATTTAAAGGGGCACCGAAAGGATTTTGTTGTTAAAAAAGTTTTTAATACTGTGCTAATTTTTTTAAACATTATTTAATTTAATTTAATTCTAAAGGTTTTGCCTCTTAATTGCACATGTTGTTGCTACCCGTTGTATTTCTAATTTTTTGTTCGAATTAGTATTGGTATTTCACGTATTCTACGGTAAAAGTTAGTAATTGTTTATGCTTGTTTAGATCTAAAAAGGTTTGATGTTTATTTTAGTATTTTTATTCAAAAGTGTTTCTGTTTTCCAGTTATTACTTCTTTTTTAAAATTTTTCACATCCTTAAAATATCCGTATGTTTTTCATGGTATGATCGTAAAATGAACAGAGAAAGGTGACTATCGTTGGACCTCTTATTTTCAGTAATTAATTTCGGCATGAAATTAAATTATTTTATACGTTTGGTATACGTTAATGTAATTTTTACCTTCCAATCCCAGCATACATTGGTATAGACGTTAAAATTGTGAAACGTTTAGTAAATATTTAAAAAAACATTTATATAAGCGTTCTAGACCCATAAAGGTAACTTACCGCCTTCAGAGGGTAAATGAATTTCTATGAATTACCAGGTAGCTATTTCATTTTTTTTATCAATGTTTTACCTTAATGCAAGTCAGTAAAATTTTTAACTATATTATGAGGTGTAATTCGGCATCGTTTCAAGCGATTTTTTAAAGATGTCTTGATATTTGGAGTGCGTATATTTTTCCAGATAGAACAAAATAGATTATCTCAATTATTTTTCAGTACTCTTGTTACGATTTATCTATATTCGATACAACGACATTTTTTAAACAGTATAAAAAAGCGAACACCAATTCTTGAGAACAGCTTATGCTTTCTAACATATATTTATCTAATGGTTGTACTTTACTTACTAAGATTCAAACTTAATGGTTTGAAGGCTTAATCTTAACTACTCTAATTAATTTGTTTAGTTTGTGCAGAAAATATTTCGAGCTACGAAACCAAACACAAAATATACTTTTTTCCAGCAGGTTTTGATTCTTGATTCTCAAAATATTGAGGAGCCAAAAAATTGGTTTTTAAAAATATTGGAGTACTCGGCTTACTAAAATAATTACATACTTATTAATAAAAATTGCGTGCACTTAGGAAATAGTTCATTATATTCAAAAAGGCCTTCACTAGGTCAATTTTCTGATCTCGAACCTGCATTCAAACCAATAAAATCGTCGTTATTCATTTCATACCTTGCAGCTCATATTTTTATATGCATATTGTGAATGCAAATTTTTCATGTACAAAAAAATTTCCTTCAAACATGCAATATCTTATTTCTAACAGTATTAGAATTGAGGTAAAATGTGTGGAAAATTGCCCATTTAAAAAGTGCAGTAATCCTTAGCGAAATACAAAATAAAAAAGTGCTTGTGGTTAAATGATAACATTGTATTTTTGTTGATTAAAAAATTATCTATTATAACGTAAATATTAACATAAAGAATTTTAAAAGCATAAAAAATTTTAAAAAGCAAGTAAACAAAAAAATTCAATTTTGTAAAAAATCCTCAACAATATATCTATGTAAAAATTTAGATGTCTCGAAATGTACGTCTATTTTTTTGAAGGGGGGGGGAGACATATTCTTACAACAGCAAAAACAACAAAAAAATATAACAGCAGTCAATGACAATAGAATATAAAACTACAAATTATTTCTTCATTGTTGCGGAAAAAAAAAGACTCGCATCAGCAAAAGGTAAGACGATTCTCCCTAATTTTGGTAAAATAAAGTAAGGAATAAAACCAAGACAATCCCACGTCAGTAAAATGTAAAAGGAGAAAATACTAAATAATAATCAGATAAAACACCTAGAATTTTATTTTAAGATCACATTTCTCTGCAATTTTTCAGCACAGAAAATAGGCAATGTAACTGATACGAGTGGCATCCTAACTCATATAACTAATGAAGTAAGATAAATGAATTATCTCTTTTTTCTTTAAATATTAAACATTATTATTTAGTTTAAGACTTTTTATAGAAAGCTTTAAAAAATAATACAACTTCCTCAACTCTTTTTTAAATTTAAGATATATATATATATATATATATATATNTATATATATATATATATATATATATATATAAATCACGTGCTTGTAAAATTAATTTAGTACCTTCTCTATTTGTTTGTCGCTTCGCTCTCTCATGTGAAAATTAGCGGATTTCTTAATCTGCTTAAATTATTCTACGTGAATCTAAAATCGGTTTGGCGATTTTAACGTTCATACAATCTAGGGTTGCAAGAATATATTTATCCTTCTTATTTAACTTCAAAATATATGAAGGAAAATAAACTCAATTCTTTGAGGATCAAAGCATTTGATTTAGTTTTATTTTGTAATTATTGTAATTAATATATTTTAAATTTTTCTTCATAATTTATGTAATTAAAAATGACGGAATTAATAAACTTAATTCTATTTATTTCCAGGACAGTAAGCTTTTCAAAGTTTAGAATACAAAAGAATACATTTGCAAGTGTTTTCATCTATTAGATAAAGTTCAGAATATTTTTAGAATGATGGAAAATTTGAACTACAGTGTACGTAATATGAAAGAAGATGACATTCCTGCAATTATTGATCTTTACAAGAATGAAAAATGGCTAGATGGATATTATAATTTATACGTTTGGAGTCAATTTGATCCTGAAGGCTTCAAAGTTGCTGAAAGTTATCAAGGTAAAAAACTTAATTACATGAATCTGTGCTAAAGGGTGTCTTATACATAATGCAACTAAATTTCGCATCCACCCTCCTAACTTACAGCTGTGACTATAATAATAAAAATTGTGTCTAGATATAGTAAAATGGCTATGTTTTACAAAATGAGACCATTTACGTCATCTGGCGAAAAACTGCTGAGTTAACATATTCATCTCAAAACTAGTTCGAAATTGGGAGAAAAGAATTATTAAATTTGAAGCATCATCATCCTTTGAGATTTTGGTGATTAATGCAAACGTCGCACGTTTAACGTACGAAATAAGCGTTTAAAAGCAATTCAATTGTTTGTTCGTGATTTCACATTGTGATATAGCCAGGCGATCTGGGAAGAAAAACAAACTCACAGGATACCTTTATTTTCTATTTATAAAGCTTGAAAGATACTTGAAAATCGACGACAAAAGTGCGTAACTTTTCCCTATTATTTTGTTTCTAGATAGAAAGGTTAAATTCAAAATTTCCTACAGGGTGGTTTTTTCGGTAGATGCAGCGTGACGATCTCGCAGTCAGTTAACGCGTCGCTGATACTGCTGCGTTCCAAGAGTATATTTCTTGACTGCCGACTAACCAATCGGTGTTGTGGGGGCGGAGTTATCGACCATGCCAACCTTCATCTATCAAAAGGTACCTCGTGATTGAATCAAGTTAGCATGTCTTTTATATCAGTAAATTGATGTTTAATATTCGTAGTGGTATTACGCCACAATACTCCCCCACCAGAATTTTATCAGAGATAGAATTCGATGAACGGATTTCACTAGTTGCTGTACTTGTGAAAGACCAGGAGAGCTGTTTGTTGAGTGCTGAATGTGAGAGGTATATTAACATCAGGTCGTAGCGTTCGTTGTTGTTTCTGGGTTGCATTTTGCAGTCACAAGTAGCAAGTCAACTGTTCAATGTGGACTATCCATCGAAGTGAGCGTTACTGCGTATTCAAATCACGTCCGGGTCACCAATGTGGGGGTGGAGTTATCGACCATGCCAACCTTCATCTATCAAAAGGTACCTCGTGATTGAATCGAGTTAGCATGTCTTTTATATCAGTGAATTGATGTTTAATATTCGTAGCGGTAGTTACGCCACAGCGTGCGTACGCGCAAAAGACGCATTAAATCCGCCGGCTGAAAGTTTCTTAGTTGACTATGATATTTAAATTTGGTAAGAGTGTTACCAGCTCGGAAACTGTCTGCGTCGTAGGTTCGTGATTAAAAATCCTTGACACATGGATGTTTTGAGATTTAACTCTGGAAAATGAGGCGCTGCTAGACCATAGTTTGATATCGTGATGTGTAAGTTATCATCTCTTGTGGCACAGAGCCACTTTATCGCCACTTTCATACTTGTAGTACTCAAATGTTAGTTCACATAAAAATAGTTTTTCCCCCCAAAAAAATATAATGAAAGATTTAAAACTTTTATCAATGAGTTATCTATTAAACCAGAAAAAATATAAAATACATTTTACACGGAAAAAAAATCCAAAATAATAGGTTAGTAATACTGACTGCGCGCCTAAATTCTACCATATAAAAAGATTAAAAAAAGAATTCCGAAAAAAAATGTTTTTTTATAATTGAGTAAAAATGCGTCACAATAGCTCCGAAAATACAGTCAAATATGAAAATCCCATGTTATCATACTTAAGTATTGTGACATAAAAATCAAAACAGCATATTCTCTTGCATGAGAAAATTTACGAGAAAGATTTTCTTTAGCCGCCGGCAGGGATGGAAACCATTTATATCATTGAAATTGAAAATTAGCATGTCATAAATTGTCATTTCGATGGCCATTACAAAAAACTTCCCCTCACTGGACTGAGTTGTACAGCTATGGTGGTTAGAGCATCCTACTACGAATCTGGAAGACCTTGGTTCGAATTATGCCGGAAATCAGAGACCATCTTTCTCACACCGTTCCTCCTTCACGTTGTTTTTGATACTATGCATTTTGTTCAAAAATGAGTATTTGCTGTTGCAATTTTTGTGTCAATAAGCTCAATAAGGAATGCATGAGGTTTTCAAATTCAACAATATGTGTTTCAGAGTTATTTTGAAGCATTTTTTGACACAAGATCAAAGAGCAGGTGTAAACGTTTTAGAGTTTTATTAAAGTTTTTTTTTTTTTGCTAGATTTATTAAATTCAATCTGAAGAAATAATTTAATATTTGAAAATGCATCAAAATTTGCATAATATTATAAAAAAATACCTGGTTGACGTACTATACTTTTTAGTTAGCACAAAAAAGACCCAAATACAATGATTTCTAAATCAGAATCTAGCATTTAGCAAGTTGTAGTTTTATATTATGAGTTTGATCTAACGATATGTTCAAATATTATATAAAATTATACATTTTAAACAGCTATTGTTATTTTCCTGAATTTGCAAAACTAATGAAGTTATTGTTGAAGATTTATTTTAATAAAATGCAGAAAAAAATACTCTTCCTTGTTATTTTTTGATATTTTAGGTGATATTATTGGAACATGCTTTGGCATACGTCAGGATGAAAAGTTAGCAACAATTGGTGGATATGTTGTGAAAAAAGAGTTACGCGGCAAAGGAATAGGAAAAAAGGTATGTTACTGTTAATCAAAATTTGTCGAAATATCAATTGCAAGATTCACCCAGACACAGAAATTTAATACAAATGCAGTAAAAAGTTATGATTTTGATTAATGGTTTATTATGTTTGATGATAATATATATATATNATATATAATATATATATATATATATACATAATATATATATAATAAATATTACTATAAACAATGAAAAGAGATTGATGACTTATACAAAAGCACGTTAATTTCAAAAAGTTCGGGATCAAATTATGGTGAAAAGTACAGACAATCAGTGCCTATACTTTTAACGAAGCATGTTAAAGGAACAAAAAATCCTACATATTGTAATTTTTCCGATAATAATTACCGTAAAATTTCTTAAACTCTCCATTTAAGTAAATATTACTGTTTAAATTATGGTATAATATTTTATGGTTAAAATGGATTTTATACTTTTGAAGCACCAAAGATTCTAGTACTTTATAGTTCAGTTAACACTGAAAATATTATCAACTTATTACCAAACTAGTGTCCAAAACTGATGACAGCAGTGGTACATTGTACACGTAAAGTCAAAACGTTTTGCTCTTTAAAAAAGTAAATAAATAAAAATAAAAAACGTAAATAAATAAGTTTAAAAAAATAAAAATAAAGTAAATAAATAAAAATAAAATAAGTTTGAAACTCTTTAAATACTTCTTAGTGATTGTAGAAACGTAACTTTTATCTGTCATCTTTAAAAAAAGAAAGTTGAGTTGCTGTTTCAAATTGTATGATTGTATCACAAATGATATCATTGATTTACCGGGAAAACATTTGATCTCATTCCTAATTGGCTGTTTATATTGTAATGATCACGTGAAGTAATCGTTTACCATAATAATCATGTGACGTAAGACAAAGAAATATTTTTACGGTATATCAAGAAAATCTTGCCTCCTAATTTCGCATACATTTTAGTTTCATACCTTTGATGTAACTACTGCACAAACTTTGAAATATCTCTTTTTTTTCAGCTTTGGGCAGCTTGCTTGCAACACATTGAAAATCGTAAAGCAACAATCAATGGAGAAGGAGAGGCGTGGAAAATGTATTATAAAACTGGAGATTTTCCGATTATTGAAAATGAATGGCGTTTCTTAATGCACCATACAGACGACGAAATAAACTCAAAGAACCTCTCTTCTAATCTTCCAGCAGATGTTACCATTCAACCATTTTCTGAAACCGACTTAGAAGCAATTTGCTGTTACGATTCTTCATTGCTTGGATTTGACAGAAAGTTTGTCTTGCACAAGCTTTTTCTGATGCATGAAACAAGAACTTTCGTGGCGTTTAAAAGACAAAAATGCGTAGGATATGGGTGTATTCAACCCAATATATATGGTGGATCTTTTATTGCACCTCTCTATGCTGACGATCCTGCAGTGGCTGAAACTCTTTTAAAAACGCTGATTGATTCTTTTCCTTCGAAAAAGAGTTTTGAAATTTCAACTAGCAGTGGAAACAAAATTTGCAGAGATTTATTGAAAAAGTTAAATTGTATGTTCGAAACTGATGAGTGTGTACGATTATACCGAAATGAACGATTTTCAACAAACCTTAATTCTGTTTACGGACTTTTTATAGACTATTCACCCTTTTAAACTTTGCCATTAAATTATATTGACTGTTAATATTCGATTTAAGAATAAACATAAATAATTTCAATAGTTTTATTCTATTTTAGTTTTAAAATTAAGCAATTTTCCTGAATTCTTCAAAACAAAAATTATTAAGGTAAAATTTATTTATCTTTATCACTGCGGAAAAAAAAGGTATGGTCCATCTTAATTTCGTCGCAAAAATTATTGCTTTTGGCTCTATGGGAAGACTAAAAAGCATGGCAATTTTTACCTAAGCGCTTTGTTAATGATTTTGGTGAAATTGAAAATTGAAATTGAATGATTTTATTACCATGCTGTTTGGTAGTAAATGTGGTTAAATTTATTAATTTTATCACAATACGTATGAGCTTGGCTTAAAAGTCACTTATCCTGCTAAATTCACTTTTCAGTTTTGTATTTTCACTAATTAAGTTGTAATAAGAAACTATAATTTTGAAAACAAAACTAAATTTCTGATAAACCGTTCCTTGAATTACAGTAAATCGTAACGAACGGAAAAATTACCAAATGAATTGTTTAAATACCCTATATTTTGATTTTTTTCCAGAATTATGGTTTATTTATCAGAAATGTCATTAGTACGATAATTTTTTTTCTAAGTTTAAAAAAAATATCGAATAAAACGGCAAGTGTCTTCTTAATAGGTTATAGCCAGAAAATATCATTTGAACACGATCCCTTGATTATTTTATTAAAAGGGGCGAAAATATTACCATTGGGGTAGTCAAAAAAGCTGATGATTTTATTATTACCTTTTATTGTAACTCTAATGAATTGTCTGATAATTGTATCGTGATTCTGTTGAAAAATTACATGAAATCCAATTTTTTATTAAAGTTTCTTTTCAGTGTTGAGTTTTCACTTATGTGTAGGTAATTCGAACTATAATTTTGAAATCCAGAATTTCCAATAAGTCAATAAAATACAGAACAGAAAAATTATTAAATAATTGATTTAATTACCGTAAAGTTTCGTATTTATTACCGAAATTCTCGCTCTTTCTTATTCTTTTTTCCAAATCAGAATTTTTTTTTTCAATAATAAAAGCTATTTACATACATTTTTTTCTCAGTGTAAAATTTTATTTTTAATATTATTGATAATTGATTTTGCGTTATTTATACGAGTAGTACTACTTTTTATTTACGTTGACTTAGAACAGCACAATGGGCTAATGGCGATGGTCTGGGAAACATCACCAAGGGTGATCCGAAGGCATGCCATCACAATTTCGATCATTTGAAGAAGGGATATCTTCCCCAATTTGGTAGTCCGAACACTTGAGAGCGAAGTCGAGCACTTCATGGTAGAATAGTTTAACGACGAAGGAAACCGCATACTCTCAGTCCCTTCTCAGGCTGATCAAACTTGTCAACCACCCTCTCACTGACCTTGCACAGAAGACAAGGAAGCTCCTGGATCAGTTCCCCCAGAGGTATGATTTGTTATGGGAACATGGAGGACTTTGTGGAGGACCCGACAGATTTAACGTGCACCAGTTACCATAAACGACGCGGGGAGTCTTCGGTTAGCTGGAATCGAACCCACGACCTCTTGGACATGGATCCAGTATCCTACCAACCAGACTAACCCTGCCCTTGCATAAATATTATTGTGCAATGTGTACCCTCCCAATGTGTAGACTCTTTTCTTTTAGTTTCGATAAGCATTCTAAAAATACAAGAGACCTTTCCGGAACGTCCTGTTCAAAATTTAAGATATCAACGAAATTAAATTAAAAATTATCAAAAGAGAAACTAAAAAAAAAAATTATTATTGAAAAGTATAATTACAATTCATGCAACTCAAAATTTATTTTCTTATTATGTAATCCTTTGTTATGTTTATCACATTACTTTGGAAGTAGCCCTGAACTGCTGCTTGCTTTCATATATGTTTTTTTATTATTTATTTATAACATGTTCTTCTGTTGCACTGCTTGATTCTATACTGTAATGTACATTGCATGAAAATATTTCATTTGAAATAGAAAGAAGTTCACACTACTTATTAAACGAAGTAAATACTGTTAAAATTAAATGTATAGCATGGTTATGACATTTACATTAAAAAAGTACATTAACTAGTACATAAAGAAAAGAAAAAGAAACGTAATTTTGGTATTAAAATCAAAATATGCAGTATTTAAACCATTCATTTAGTAATTTTTCCGCTCGCATAGCAACGGTCTAAAATTCAATTTTTCAAAATGTGATAGTTAAAATAGTAGAGAAATTAAACGTAGAAAAGAAATTATATTCTCTTTTTTAGGAGAGGGAGAAAGTTGCTTTTTCACATCATCGAGCATTATTTGATATTGTACCATTTCACCAATAAAATTTGCGAGGAACTTTTTCATGATCTCGTAAAAAGCAGGTTCTTCATGAAAAAGGCGTTGGGAGCTCTTGAAAATTGCCATGCACTGAGAAAAATTTAGGCTTCTGTCTTTTCTCAAAGATATCACATAAAAACTGAAATCGCGCTGGAACCTCAAGCAGCTTATCCATGAAGTAACCAAACCAGAACGAAATTTTATGAAGTTTCATGAAAATATTGCACAAATTACAAAGTTAAATTCTAGATCTTCAACGAAAATCCAGTTAGCTATTTAGTTTTAGATAAAGGAAAAAAACTTATTATAGCAATTACTGCAAAAAACGGAAACAAAAGAAAATATATAATTATGTTAGTGGGCGCTACACCCTGCTGCTTTCATTAACCAAACTCTGATAATTCAGCAAAGTCGTTTCTGTTTTGACGAAAAATATAATGCTTTGCCGAATTTGAAGTTGTAAATTAGAAATCAGAATTGCTCAATTAAAATGCCCAAAATCTGTAATTGTTTTAATCCAGATTTAATTTTCAATGTAATTAAGATATAATTTATCCTAAAATGTTTTTCTTGGTTACCATTACAGTTTAATCTATAAATTTGCTTCTTTTTGGTCCTTATTTAATTTTTGGTCACTAGAAAAGCTTGTTAAATATTTTTTACCGAAAAGATTGCTTTGAAATAGAGAGAAAAATAGATTTTTAACTTTGCTTTATAACACATTTTTATATAACACAAGTTTATAATGCAAGTAAATACAACTTATGATAAAGTAAATGTAACTTATTTAGCCGTTTATAGTCGTAAAACGGTAACTAAAGCATTGCATAGTACCAAGACATTACTTTTTAACATTGTAAAGGAGACAATTATTATTTCTCAAACTTTTAATATTCAATAAATCAAAATCAAAATATAATAATTATGGAGAATAATATTAAGATAGTGTGATAATAAATGAAATTGGTAGATACCTTTAATAAAAGGATAAATAATTTAAAGGTAAATATAGTAAAATTTATTAATTTATCCTAATGACAGTCAAACATATCTAGATATAATTTTATATTAATTTTCTATCCGAAGTTATACTTGGATATTAGAGCTCATATCATATAACTTTTCTGTCCAATAAAAAAGCACGAAGCGATAAAACAACAATTACCTTTTTATGACATACAGAAATAAATTATTATTTAATCACTCACATACTTATAAACTTTATGGCTGTAAATATGAAACATATGGATTCAAAATAAAATATTTACAAGACGTCTTAAGCCTTTACGTGAAATAATAATGTTTTTTTATTCTGTAATGCTTTTCTTAATTAACAATTTTGTAAAAAAAAAAAAAAAAAAAAAAAAAAAAAAAAAAAAAAAAAAAAAAAAAAACACCTAGAATAATAAACATTAAAAAGAAGATTACAAATATAAAACATTTTATAATGCCGATATATTTTGTAATATTTCATATTATCACGTGAAATATTTTGTAATTAAAAAGAAAATTCGGAAGCGTAAAGGGCGATTGGGGACATAAACGTAATGGAACGCAGTTCGATCCCGGTCAAAAGTCAATTTCGTATAAAAAGAAAAAAAATTTTAAATTTATTTTTCAATATTTTAACGTAAATAAAGTATTCTTTTTCCAAAAACTATTATTTTTCTCTTTATAAGAGCGAATAATTGCTAAAAAATGTATAAATTTCGGATCCTACGCTATGCATATAAATGACCCAATGTCTCCTATAAACCTATAATTTTCGAACTCGTCCAGAAATTATAGTTTAATATAATAAATAATTGCATCGAAGGAATATTTTGTTGACAAATTAGGGAGGCCATAATGGACCAAAATAGGTTCCATTGAGAAAGCGCGGGAAAGTATTTTAAACTTAATATGCGTGGCAACACCGTGTGAGCCTGACGCGGTCAGTAGCGCTGCGTGCTAGGTAGGTAAGAAATTAGTAGATCGCGTGGTCCGGAGTTCGATCCCGGTCAAGGGTCAATTTATTAAATAAATTTTTTTATTTATTTTAACGCAAGTAAAGTATTGTTTTTTCAAAAATTATTATTTTTCTTTTGAAAACCACGAAAACCTCCAACGGTTAATCTGACGGCAGTAGGACTCTAACCCATGATTTCTCTACCACTGAGGATATTTTAAGTCAGCACTGTGTTCGATGCGATCCGGGGGCGGAATTCGAACCCGGTTCATTGGGAAGCGAACGCTCAATCCCCTGAGCCACCACGGCTCATTGAACTCTTATTGTGATAAACCGTGGCTCTCGATTGCTGGTGACGCTTGTTGCCTGCCGAAAGGATGGGTACCAGATTGTCTAGGAAGTAAAAGCGGCCTGTGTGCAATGCTGAACACATTGTCAGAATCTTGCCCCTGAACACGAAATTGCTTTGCGTTAAACGTTCTTAACAACCTTCCTCTGGCCCACAATAGATTGTTTTGGAGTTCCTTCTTTTTCGAATCACTTTTATGAAAAACTGGCATTAGTCAGAATATTGCGTTTTACTATTTACAAAAAAGTCTGGCTAATTAGAAAAATTTTCAAACTCTCTCGAATAGTAATATAAGAACAATCCATAAACTAGTGTTTTTTTAATGAACGAAATATGAGTTTAATAGCAAAATTTTTTTTTTTTTTTTTTTTTTTTTTTTTTTCTATCTCGGCTTTCATACCATTCTTTTTTTCTCTTGATAATCTCATCTTTTATTGAAAGAAAATGCTAATAACAGAAAAAAGACAACAATATTTTCTAACAGCTAAAATTTCATATATTTTAATACAAAAACACGAGCTATAATATCAATTCAGTAGACTTTTCCGTAAAATGCATAAAATGTAATTTATTTTTGAATCTCTGAAATATTCCTAAATCTCAGAGAGTACTGATGCCTCGATTACGCATGGATCGTATATCGATAGACAATGTTACGTAGAGTTACGTATTTCTCTATTTTCGCGTTCTCAGAATTCCTCTCTCCACTTTCAATCAAATATCTTTCATCATGTTGAAATGAATAGGATAAAATGAGTTTTGAAAATAGAGTATATCTATTGAAATTGAGTTTATTGAGTATTGAAATTAAATGTTTAATTTATTAGTTAAATATATAGAGCTTATATTATTATGTAAATACTATCTTTAATTTTTCATTTTTTTAAAATTGGGTCTTAATAGCCAGTTCTTTTTAGATTTACGACTTTCTTCGTTCAATCCTGTAGTCTTATAATTTTTGACCGATACAGAAGATATGGGAATTCATAGAGTTAAGCAATCATCATGGAGAACTTTGTGATGGTACCAATCCGCATCTTCATATAAAGAGGAAATCTAAAACTTCCCACGGTTAGCCCGATGAATCCCTACTCATGATCTATAACCGCTATCAATAGAGATATATTATGTCAGCACTGTGGTTGGTGAAAATAGGAACGAACTGAACAGCTAACATCACACCTGGATTTGTTTGGAAGCAGTCCACTAATTTTTTAAGCCTATATATATATNATATATATATATATATATATTATATGCACAGAGAGTATGTGTGTGAGAAGAGAGGGAAAGATTAAAAATTTAGGAGAATTAAAACAATGGAGAAAAAATAGTAAAGTTGTGAAGATTTTTTTAAAGGAGAAGAAAAGACACTAAAAAAATTTTAAAAATATTCAAAAATTAAAAGAAAAGCCTAAAATAGAAATTAGGAAAAACTATAATCTTGTCATCAGCACACACAATTATATCCGAGATAGTGCTTTCTAATATTATATTAATGTAGCCAAAGCAAAATACATCAATGCTAAAGTGTGAGAAGCACCAAAAAGTTAAACGAAACTAGAATTTATTCAGCATAAATTGTAAAATAAAACAAAAAACACAAAATAAAACTATCAAGCAAAAAATGGAAAGAAAAAAAAAACAGAATAAAACTCAAATTGTAATATATAGGGCGTATAGCGAATTCAGATGTACTTACAATTATCGGAATTTTTTAAATATCATTTAAAATGTTTTCGTAACAAGTTTTCAATGTTACGAAATTTAAAAATAGAAGCGTAAATGAAGGATGATGAAATTAACTTATAGAGCGCTCTTACTGAATTACCGAACGTGTTTGATTTGTTAAGTACCGTGTATATGCCTGAATCTGGATGTGGGCAGAGTAATATTATTATGCTAGAAAATTCAGAATTTATATTTAATAAGAATGAATTTTAATTATGAAATTTTTATATTAATAAGGTTAAATTTCAATAATAAATTTTTATTGATGATTTTAGAGAAATTATCAACATTTAATAAAAAAATTTAAAAAAATCCTTATTAAATATTCTAAGCTTTTTGCCTCGGATTTGCCGAATTGGATTTGCTCATGGAAAAAATATAAATTGAGTTAACAAAGAAATTTTTTATTATAGCAAACGATTCAGCGATTATGTATAGAATTTAAATACTTTGGTTGGATATCCATTGTTTTTTATTAAATTTTGGAAGAGTTCGTCTATTAGTTTTTTCGATAAATAAACATTACTACAAAATTCCTTTAATTTTCTTTGATTCCAATACATTAAAAATGGTATTTAAATAAATGTTTTTAAAAATATTAGAATTCCACGTAATTAGTTCATTTATATTAAATTTAAAATCATTTCTTTTATCGTATAAATCAACAATGCAGATATTTTCTTCCTTTATTAATAATTTGAACCAAAAAAATTAAATTTATATTATCGTCAGGACTACGAAACAAGATTAATTCCTTGGGGAAAATATTCTTTAAAAAAATGTGTAATTTTGAAAATTAAAGATAATTAAATCATTAATAAATCTAAAAACAAATTTAATGTTAAGAGTATAATTTTTTTCATAATTGTGTAAAAATAAGTATGCTAGGAGTGATAAATATTTAATTCTTTGTGGTATTCCATCAATTTGAACAAAAATATTTTTTTTTCCATTTTAAAGAAAATTGCTAAAAAGACAAAAAAATAAATTAGAATTTCCCAATGATCAAAATAGCAATTAAGGATATTTTTATAATTATAGTAGTAACTCAAAAAATTATCTTTAGTTTAGAAAGGGGAATTATATTAAAGAGATCTTGGAAATCAAAAGTAGCAATAGAATTTATTTTATTTTGTTTCATAAAATCTAAAATAGGTTGATTATTAGTGATAAACCAAGAAAAACTATCTTTTATTAATAGTGTTAATAATTTTATTTAAATAGTTAGAAAAAATGGTGTCAGGTTTAGTTAGGTAAGAATTAAACCCACAAGTGAGTGTTCTAAATTTAACAGGAATATAATGAAATTTTGCTCTGATTATTAAGTACAAAAATTGTTCATTTTCGGGATGGAATTAGTTCATTTTCTTGTTTATTGGATCATTTTAGTTCATTATTTCATTTTCTTGTCTAACGTACGAAAATAAAAAATTTTGGAATCTCTTAATAATATTTAACAGTTTAGAAATTTATTTTATGCAATAATTAAAAAATTAAGTGTATCAATGATCTATCATATAGTACATAAAGTTGTAATACGTGGACTTAAACATTCAATATATTTGATGAATATTGCATGCCAATGGAAATCTTTCCAATACAAATAGGAAGTGAATAAAGAAAGAATGGACAAGGGGAGAAAATTGGAGTAGCTGTGCAACAGTGAATGTTAAAATGTATGAGGGAACTTGTAAGTAGGCAAAGATAAATTAGTTAAATCAGAGTAAAATAAATACTTAAATTTTTATATAGGGCAGACCATGACAGATTATTTAATAGTATTATTATTCATTGCTTTTTTCTGTCGATTTTAAATTTACTTTATTATAATCCTATCACTTTATTGTAAACACTTTATTTTAAATTCAATATTATCATTTTAAAAGATTGCCTTGAATTAATAAATATTGATAAATAGTTCAACTGTAAAAACTTTTCATCAATTTTTTTTAAATGCTCATACTGGATTGCAAATAAAACAAAAAATTAAAATAAATAAAAAAAAAAGACAAAAATTTTATTAATAAAATTTTCTAACAGGAAACAAAAACTTTTTTTATGAATAATTATGTGTTAAATATGATGGTCATAGTGCAGTCATTTCACCATCAGATTCAGGATCTTCATTCGTCGTGGCGCCATCTGCCTTTTCTAAATGGTAGCTTTCTTGCATTGCATTATCATCAGGTTTTTGTTGTTCTATCCAATAAGATACATCAGCTGATTTCTAAAGCAAAAATTACACAAAAATTAGAACAAACATAATTGTTTACATTTGCTTTAAATATAGAAAAAAAATTTCGCCATTAACATCGGATATAAATATTTTCTTTTGTATTTATGGTTCGTCTTTGAATTCGTGATTCAAATATAGCATTAGAAATATCCTACTAAATGATTTGTAGCTTCCAAGATATTACTTTAAAATTTTAAATGCCCTTTTATGTTCATTAGTTTTAGATATAACATGTTGTTTGCGATCCGACTTCACTCGGAATGTGAACAAGAGAAGAGATGGGTTTTTCTAAAAAATCGTTTCATATTGACCCACGTCCAACGAAATTTGAAAAATTAAAAAAGAAAGAAAGAAAAATTGAAACATATAATTCTTAAGGTTAGATTAAAAAAAAAAATTATTAATTTTTCTTAAAAATATTATCATTAGTGTAACCTGATAAAAATTTGAAAAATGGGAATTAAAAAAATTCCTTCAATAAAAATGGTAAAAAGAAAGCGCCATTTTTAAAAAAAATGAAATATTAAATATTAGCCAAAAGTTTTCAAATATTAAGTTGTAACATAAAATATTACGTAACATATAATAATATTAAATTGTATTCTACGTTGTTGTACAGAACTTGATATTTTTTGCTTGACTCCTTAATTCCGGACAATTATCTTTCAAGCCAAACTTTTTCTTTAACAATCTGATGTATTTTATTTATTTCTGAACAATTTCTTTCTATTTCATGTTTAACAATCAGATCATTTCACTTAATTTCTTATTTTCGGTCAATTAACTTCCTAATATCTATAACAATCTGACTTTATTTTAAATAAGCTGACTGAATATCTTAACAATCTTAACAATTATATTTTAATAAGTCTGTGAAATGCTCTTTCAATTTATACATGTTAAACAATCTGATACATTTTGTTTATTTTGTATAGATTTAGGATAATGCTTTTTACATTCATATATAGCAACCTGACATATTTTATATAATTCTGTAATTCCAGAAAATTCTTTTTGAGTTTTAAACACAGCATTGAAGTCCAGATATTTTTCCCAGAAGTTTGCTGCCCTTTTGTTTCTATGTTAATGCTTCGATTAACCTATTTTTGAGAGGTTTTATTTTATTATATGCTAATACAGATACAGTATCCGCGAACAGGATTATAGATTCAGAATCTAAATTAACTTTCCCCTTTTCTGGTTGTTAATTTTTTTCCTAGTTCTTCTTTCCTTTGCGTCAGGCATAGTTCATAGCACGGTTTAATCTTTTTTTCCTTTTTTTTTTCTCTCTTAACTCTTAGAATACTATATGAATAAGAGTTATATTTTTTGGATGCTTTTTTTTATATAACTTGATTATTTCTTATCTTACTTGTTGATGATGTTTAAATATCATTATCTAATAGTTGCTGAAAATCCATTGCTAGAGAATTCAAATGTGATACGCTTTTATTTGCTTTTAGTGTTATCATAAATTTCAAGTAAATATCTCAGTTATTCAATCTGCAACATTTTGCAATTAAAATTACAAATGAAAAATTATTATTTCAAGTGCAATGGGGAAAAAATTAAATTTCAATGATAATTCTCTCCTATTTTAAAGACATTTATTTAAGGATAATACTATTTTAAAATGTGTTATATTGTAAATTTACAGCAAGTGACAACACATTTTCATTAAGATCTTAGGCAACTATCGAACTAACTTGCATATTTATTTATTGTTATTGTTTAACTATGTGAAATATAAAGCCTGCTCGTAAGAAACCAAAAGCATTTTAAAGTTTGGTGCTAAAATATTTTTCTTCTATGCAGAATAAATAAATAATTAAAACTAAATTTAAAAATAATAAGGAAATACTTAGTTGTTTATTAGCAGTTGTAAATGTACAAGTAACGAATTTTCAACGAAATTGTAGAAAAATCTTGAAATTTACACTATAAAAAAGAAAGTTCCAAAATTGAGTAAAAATATGTTAAAATAGCTCCGATAAAAAATAGTTGAATTTGAAAACTCCATGTATTCAAAATTGAAATAGCATATACTCTTTTTTGAGCAAAATACATGACGAGGGGAAAATGTTTGATAAAGCGATGTTCATTGGCTTTTTGAACCAAGAATCTCTGGGTTCGCGTCTGAAAATTTTTAACCACCCTAATTGAACACCCCAATCAAGAGAGAATATATAGTAGTAGCCGCAGTGACACATAATGACAAACATTTCATTCGCGTAAAGGTTCTTCTAAGATATAGCGAAATAAGTAAAAGTGAAATTAAAAATACTGATTTCCTGATTAAGCTATTTGGACCATATTTTCCAAATTACGGCCCTTTGTATACCATTGAAATTAAAAATAAGCATATCATAATGGGTCATTGCCGCGGCCATTATATAAAGCTTCCTAACTCTCCCTGGACTGGGGTGCCCACCTATGGTGGTTAGAACATCCTTTTAAGAAACCTTAGGTCTTTGGTTCGAGCAACCAATAAACATCTTTCTCACACATTTTTCTTTTCACGTGCATTTTGTTAAAAAATGAATACATGCTGTGAATACAAGAAGTTTTAAATTCAATTATTATTTCTTTCAGAACTATTTTGGATCCACTTTAACTCAATTTTGAGAAATTTTTCTTTTTACAGTATACATATTTAATTCTCAAATATTGAAAGCTCTAAAAAGCTCAATTATGAAAACTTACACAATATTTTATGCAGTAGAAGAAGGAAAAAAATAGAAAATATCAAATTATCAGAAAAGTTTCGAAGAAAACTTTAAAAAATTATTCCTTTTAAATTTGATTTCATCGTAAAACATAGAAAACATTATTTATTGCTGTGAAGAATCCTTCAATTATTATATTTTATTAAATCTTGCAAGCGCAAACAATCCTTAATTTCTCATATTTTTTTTTCTCAATTAGTACCAAAGAATTATTTTACTAATGAAAATCATAGCTCATTGTGTATTTCTCACCACCTGTTGCTCAGAGCACGTGTTACTAAACGGCAGTGGGTCTCTAACAAAATTTGTACAAGAAATGAAGGTCTTTCATGCTGCGTTTTACGACGGAATAGTCATGGTTTCTTTAGCTGTCCTTTTTTGGTATAGCCAAACAGAATTCAAATATAGTTTTTTTAATCTTTTCTTTTTTATAGTTCTTACTTTTCTAATTCTCTTATTAGAATTTGCGTTTACTATGACATATTACACACTTGCATATATATATTATATATATATATATATATATATTTCGAAGTTTCAATATTACCTAGATGCTAAGTGCTTGTAGTCTTTTTAGTAGCTAAAATTTTCCGATTCATTGACGGCATTTTCGAAGTGAAATTAATATTAATTATAAATAATCATTCGATTTAATATAATTAAGGGACGGTAGATATTAAGAAATAAAACTGTGAGTTAAGAACGTTTTTTCATTTATTTTATTAATTGTTGTTTATTTTTATACATAACTTGTTGTATAACATAATATATATATAATGTTAA